ACCTCTCTGCCTGCACCTCTCCGTAGTCTGTGTTCACCCTGGGAGCCACAGCTGGAGGCCTCAGTGCCATGGTTCTCAACGACCTTCTGGGCCGGAAGCTGAGCATCATGTTCTCAGCGGTACCCTCGGTGGCCGGCTACGCCCTCATGGCGGGAGCCCGTGGCCTGTGGATGCTGCTTCTGGGGAGGATGCTGACCGGCTTCGCTGGAGGACTCACGGCTGCCTGCATCCCGGTAAGGTTGGATGTCCACCACCGCCCCAGTGACAGTGTTTGCTGCCCCCAGTGGCTGTCCAGTCGAGCCTCCGCCCACCTCTGATGGGGTAGCTGACTTCTGGGAAACTTGTTCCCCCATGCCCAGCCGTCCCCACCCTGGACTCTCTCAACTCCTGCCAGTTCTTTCTTGACCACAGATGCATTGCACAAGTGGAGAAAATTTGCATTGAATGCATGGGTAGGAAAGGGAAGTCCCCTCCTGCTGCCCTCCCATGAGCCTAGAGAACTTAGGCAGTGCTTCCCCTAAACCCGCTCAGAGGGCCCGGGACGCAGGACGGAGGCATTTGCGCCCCAAGTCTGGAGGCTGGGCACCTGTCCCACCCTTGCCGCCCACTTCAGAGCAGAGCGGCCTGCCTGCTTTACAGTCAGGTCCCCAAAGCAGCGGGCAGGCTGTGAGCCCTGATCACAACGCCCTTCCCCACTCTCTGGGCTGACAGGGTCCCCCTCTCCCAGGCCCCAGCCTGGTCCAAACACCTACATTCTCACCAAAGCTCCAGGGGTGATGTGTCTTGCAGGTGTACGTGTCTGAGATTGCACCCCCTGGTGTTCGTGGGGCTCTGGGGGCTACGCCACAGCTCATGGCAGTGTTTGGGTCCCTGTTCCTCTACACCCTCGGCAAGTATCCCTCCACATCCATGCCCATGGGTTCCGGGAGTCCCCGGCGCCATGGGCCAGGACTGCCCGTGCCCCTGGGGGAGCCCAGGACTGGAAGGTGTCCCTCTGTCTCTCCAGACAGTCCCCTGCCCTCTCTGCTCAGAGGACCGATCTGTCTGTGGTCAGCAAGGCCTCTGGCTGCCTGGAGGTGGACCCTGCCTTTCCACCCTCCCCATCATGCTTTGGTCCTTGGGACCCTCCCAGGGCCTCCTGTCATGTGCCAGGGGCCAGGCAACCCCTGTGCCCCCTCCCTGCCTCTGTCTCAGGGGAGGCTCCCAGCCCCTCACACTGCTCTCCCCCAGGCCTCTGGCTGCCCTGGCGCTGGCTGGCGGTGGCCGGGGAGGGACCGGTGCTCATCATGATCCTGATACTCAGCTTCATGCCCAACTCGCCGCGCTTCCTGCTCTCGAGGGGCAGGGACGAGGAGGCGCTGCAGGCACTGACCTGGCTGCGAGCCAGTGGCCCCGATGTCCACTGGGAGTTCGAGCAGATCCAGGACAACGTCCAGAGACAGGTGAGGGTGGGGTGGGGCACCCATGGGTCTGTGTGGCCTTGGTCAGACACTAGACCTCTCTGGGCCTTGGTTGCTTTTTCCTGGCATGAGTGGTTCCCAGAGCCCGGGGTCTCTTCTGCAAGAGGGAGGAAGCGGAGGGGTCTCCCCCAACCCCCCAGGGTCCCAGGCTGGGTGGCTTCTGTGGGAGAGGCCGCACAGCCCCTCAGTGGTGGCCTTGTGTTTCAGAGCAGCCGAGTGTCGTGGGCTGAGGTCCGGGACCCCCGCATGTACCGGCCGATCCTCATCGCCCTGCTCATGCGCTTCCTGCAGCAGCTGATGGGCATCACGCCCATCCTCGTCTACCTGCAGCCCATCTTCGACAGAACGGCAGTGGTGCTGGTGAGCACACTTGGGACCTCCCCCCAGCCCCCGCCACGAGCTGGACCCTAGAGGTCAGGCCTACAGGTCTGAAAATGGGGACCATCCAGGTTCTTACCTGCTTGTGAGCCATGCATCTGTGCTCCCAGCTATACTGTCGGGTCATTTTGTGCCACTCCTGGGGCTTGAACTCACTCCAGGCCTAGGCACTGTCCCTGAGCTTTTGTGCTCAAGGCTAGCGCTGTACCATGACCCACAGCTCTACTTCCCAAATTGTTTTTAAGCAAAGCATACGTGTATTAAGACAGTTATACAGGATGACCTCCCCACTCCACCGCTGCCCATGCTCAGGACTGAACTCGGGGCCCTGTACCTGCTGGGCAAGCACTCTTCCACTGAGCTAGGAAAGCCATTTTGTAGAGACATGGTCCCTTTGGAACCAGGGCCAGGCCCAGAGCCTGGGGAGGCCCCTTAATCAGGGACTGCACCCCCCTCCCCTGTACCCCTGCAGCCAGCGCCGTGTGCTGGTGACCTGGTCCATCCCGTCCCCACGCTCCGCCGGGGAGCCCATGGCTCCCGTGGCTGTGGTTCTGGGTCTGTGCCAGGCCGGCTTCCACTGGGAGGCCCTGCAAATGTGTCACTCACAGCTACGCCCTGACTCTGAGTACCAAAGGAGCCCTGGCGCCGGCTGGGAGCCTCAGCCCCCTGCACTGCCTGTGAGGGGGGGTGGTGGCAGGTTGGACATGGGGGTGGGAGCAGGAGTGGCGGACCCCATTTCTCAACGCCGGTGCCCCCCTGCCCCCAGCCTCCGGAGGATGACGCGGCGATTGTGGGCGCGGTGAGGCTGCTGTCCGTGCTGATCGCTGCCCTGACCATGGACCTGGCTGGCCGCAAGGTTCTGCTCTTCGTGTCCGGTGAGCAGCCCTGGCTGTGGCTGGTGTCCCTCACTACAGCAGCGGCCGTGCGTGCCCGGGCTGGGTGCAGCAGCCCCTGCCTGGGGCCCAGTGTGGGCTGCTCCAGACAGGCTCTCTGCAGAGGACTAGGAGCCCGGGACACACCTCAGGGCGGGCCAGGAGCCCAGGCTGGAGGCCTGAGTGCTTCCTGGCACAGGGCACACCGGGATCCAGCTTAGCCGGACCGAGTATCCACCTGTGTGTCCACAGCAACCATCATGTTCGTGGCCAACCTGACGCTGGGGCTGTACATCCACTTCGTCCCCAGGCCTCCTGTCCCCAACAGCACCGTGGGCGTGGGCCTTCAGAGCCTGGTTTTGGGGGGCACAGAGCAGACCCCCACCATGCCCACCAGCTCCCTCACCCTGGTGCCCCTGCTGGCCACTATGTTCTTCATCATGGGTAGGTGTCGGGGACCCCCTGGGGGTGGGGTGGGATCATGTGGCCATCCTGGTGTCAGCTGAGCAGAGGCTGGGGGGATGGGCTGTCCCTGGGCCCACCCCTTCTCCCCTGTCTGGACAGGCTATGCCATGGGTTGGGGGCCCATCACCTGGCTCCTCATGTCTGAGATCCTGCCCTTGCGTGCCCGCGGCGTGGCCTCGGGGCTCTGTGTGCTGGTCAGCTGGCTCACCGCCTTCGTCCTCACCAAGTCCTTCCTGCCAGTGGTGGTGAGTGCGAGTTCCCTGGGGACCCAGGGATCTCTGAGGCCCGCTGCAGCCAGCAGAGCGCCACTCACTGTGCCAGGGGCCTTCGCCATTGGCCATTTAACCTGCCAGTGAAGTTGGCGTGTGTGGAGACTAAAGATGCAAGTAACAGCACAGCCAGGGCCCTGCTCACAAGAAACAGGAGCAAGGTAGAGACTGCTGATGATCAGGCGACCTCCCACACCAGGAGACGCAGCCCTGGGCTTGGCGAGTCTAGCAAGCCAAGTCTTGTCTCCCAGACGCTGGGCCTCTCTAGTTGGTCCTACCGTTAGTGCCTTCCCACTGTGGAAAGGCATGTCTTCCTCTACAATCCCCGAGAACACCTGAATCTGAGCCCCAGTTTCACCCAGGGTCCCCTCTGCCCCCCTCAGAGGTCAGGTATAAATCACCCACGAGGTCATGCAGGCAGCATGGAGCTGTTACACGACAGCTGGGCATCGGCGGGAAAGGGAATCAGGGCTGAAAGGGTCTCCAGGTAGGCAGCATACCCAGCGTCCGCCCCTGGGTGGCCAAGAGCCAGGGGAGCCCTAGGAGGTCTTAGGCAATGAGCAGACCAAGGCTGCCACAGGGGCTGGCACCGGCTAGGCCTCGTCCTGCGCGGGAAGGGCAGGACCTGAATTTCTCCTGTGTGACCCCCAATCCTACCCCACATCCCCAGAATGCCTTCGGCCTCCAGGTGCCTTTCTTCTTCTTTGCGGCCATCTGCCTGGTGAGCCTGGTGTTCACGGGTTGCTGCGTGCCTGAAACCCGGGGCCGCTCGCTGGAGCAGATCGAGTGCTTCTTCCACTCCAGGCGGCGGTCCTTCCCGCACTAGCTCAGGGCCACCGGCCTCACACCACCGGCAGCAAGCCCACACCCGCAACCAGGAACAGCTGCGGTTCCTGCCACCAGCCGGAGCCCAGGACCAGCCTGAACACTTCTGGCTGAGACCCGTCCAAGTGGCCTAGCTGGTGTCCAGGTCAGGGACCTGCCGGGTGACCTCAACCCTGGCTCCTTACTCGTGCGGAGGGAGGGCAGTGTGTACATGGTGTTGTCACACCAGCCTGTCCCCACCACTCAGCCCCATCCAGCATCTTGATGTTGGAGGAAGGCAGGGCTGTGCACCCACAGGGGTCTGTGGACACCTCTGGGGTGGGGGTGGGGTGTCTCAGACTTCCAAAAGCCAGGGTGGAGGGCCTGGTGGTATGGCCACTTCCCCCTGCCCAGCCCAACCTCCTACAGGGCGCCGCCTGCAAATTATGTTTACCTACTATTTATGAATAAATAAACTGGGCCTGCAGCCCTAGGGAGGACGGAGTGGGGTGTACTCTGGGGAGCCCCCACTCCATCAGCCAGGCTAGACTCAGCCGAGGCCATCGGCACCTACTGCCCCCCCCCCCACAGCCGGCTGCTCTTGGGCTGCTGTCTCTCTATGGGTTGCTTATGACCCCAAACTAGTTGCTTTCCTCCCAGGCCACTGGCTGGCCTGCCCAGCGGCACTGGCTGGGGAAGCCCTGCCCCCACGGAGGGAGCAGAGGCGGAAGGTACCAGGCAGAGGGCACACATTGAGACTCGTCTTCCTTTACTGCCAAGGCTTCAAGGCAGGAACAGGCAGAACCCAGACAGAGGCAGAGGCCAGCCTGCAGTCCAGCTGGCCTGAGCAGGAGCATGAACTAGGCGGCTAGAGGTTCCAGAGCTGCTTAGGCACAGACCAGTTGGGAATCTGGGAGGTGGCCAGTCCACCTGGGTCTGTCTGAGGGACCTTCTACCTTGGTGTCCCAACCTGTGGCCTGCCCACCTCCCTTCACGTGGAGTGCTGAAGCTAGCCCCTCCCCTTCCTGTTCCTGCAGCCATGGCAGGGGCCAAAGTCAGGGCAGAAGTGACCCAAGGCCATGGCTGGACAAGCAAGCAGAGGGGCAGTTAGGGCCCTTGCTCCTCCTGAGGTGGACGGGCCCTGTTCACTGCACACATGGGGAGTGACAAAGGCACGTGCGCGTGCGTGCGTACATACACACACAGAGCCCGTAAGTACCAAAGGGGCCCCAGAGGAATCCTGATGGGCCAGGCCGGTTCACCTGCCACCCTGGGGCTGTGCATGGGCAGAGTACTGCCAATGCTAGCATCCGCTGCGTCCCAGGGCTGGGCAGGGCCGGCCGTCTCCCAGCGTCCATGGCTTCTGGCCCCAGACACGGGCAGGCCTGAAGGGTCCCCTGGGAAGCAGACCTGGAACAGCTCCAGGTTGGTCTCCATGGCACAAAACCTAGTCCCTCTGCTCTGGAAGCTTCCAGCAGGCCCCGCCCGGGGTTGGGGGAGGGAAGAAGATGGAGCTGAGCCTTCTCCACGCCCCCTCTCCCAGCCCCACCTCAGCTCCACAGGCCAAGGTGAATCTGAGGAGCAGAGGGCGGGGTCTGGGGTGCTGTGGAAGGGTGGGGGCGCGATGACACTCCTGAGGGCCACTTCCTCAACACCAGCTTCTATGTCCTTCCCTGCGGGCTTGTCCGGGCGGCCTGGCACCTGAGCAGGGGACAGCCCTGGGAGGGGCGGCTCTGACTTCTGCCCATCTTCCCCTTGGCAGGAAGCTCCCGGGGCAGCTGGCAGGGCCTGAGGTGTGTCAAGTCCAGCCCTCTAACCGTAGTTAGAGGCAGCCGCTGCAGACACAAGGAGGGCCACACGGGGGAGGGCACCCCACGAGCTCTTCACCACTCCCTAGCACCAAGGCCCAGGGCAGGGCAGGGCCCTGCGGGAAGCACAGCAGCAGGACGGCCTGAAGTGTTCTGTCCAACCATCTGCCAAGGGCCTGTTCTGGCCAGAGAGGTGCATGCTGGGAGCACTGGCCACGACCCCGGCAGCAGCAGCTGGCCTTGGAACACTGTCCTGAGAACAAGCAGCCAGGGCAGGGCTGGGATTCCACTTGCCAGGGAGCAGGCGCATGTTCCCCTTGCTCCACGCTCCCACCTGACAGGCAGGAGGTGGGAGGAGTTGGGGTGATCTGCCTCCGCCTCCAGCCAGGCCCGGTGTGTCCAGAGGAGGCACTCTGGGCTTGGGGTGGACCGCCAGCCATGGGGAGCCTTCAGATCCTCCGGCAGCATGCTTTGGAGCAGGCGGCCATCCATGCAGCGCTGATAGGGTGGGCTCTGCTCTGCTCTGTCCAAGTCCTGCAACCCCGCTGGGGCCGTGACGTGTCAGGCAGGAGGGCTCCAGGGCAGGGCACTCGCAGAGCTCCTCTCCAGAGTCCCTTCGGACAATCACACAGAGCCAGCCGGCGGCCAGGAGGACGGGTCACTGGCTCACTTCACAGCTCCCCCTCCAGGGTCTCCGCCATCTTCTCCTCATCTGCCTGCTGCCTCTGCTGCTGGATCCTGGCATAGGAGATGGCATCGCCCCTGGGGAGACAGCAAGCAAATGTCACTCAGGCACAGCCTTCCTGGCCACCACCCAACTCGGGCTGTAAGCCAGGGGGGAGCCACGGGCAGGGCCTTCTGCTTCCCACGCAGAGGCGACTGCCGGGGCCCAGGGCCTCCTGGACACTAGGTGAAGATCTGTCCCAGGCCGGGCTCTCCAGGAAAGGATGACCAGCCTGGTGTAGGGGCCATAGGAAGAGGCAGAGCCAGGCAAGCTGGGCCACCCGGGGGGACTCGAGTCCACTTCCAAGGGCTGCCACAGTGCCCCACAACAGGACCAAGGGACCCCACCAGGACCGCCCCCCAGAGGGGCAGGGCTGGGGCCACAGACGCACTTCTTGCCCAGGGCAGAGAGTCCGTACAGCACCCCTGTGGCAAAGGCGATGGCGTTACCCAGCAGCGTGGTCAGGGTCAGGCTCATGACGATGGGGACGACGGCCATCCTAGGGGAGAAAGAGATCAGTGGGTACCCCGCTCCACATGGTTAGACCTGGCTCCTCAGTCCTCGGGGCTCTGATGACTGAGGGGCAGGAAGGATCCCCAGAGACTAATCAAAATGCAGCCCCAGGGCTGGGCACCTCACCCACCCCTGAACCTGAGTGCAGAATCCCAAACCTGGAACCAGCAATCCAGGAGGCTTATATCCAAGGATCGTGGTTCAAAGCCAACCTGAACAGGAAAATCTGTGAGACTCCTATCTGCAGTGAACTAGCAAAAAGCTGAAGTGGAGCTATGGCTCAAGCAGTAGAGCACTAGCCTTGAGCGAAACAGCTAAGGGACAGTGCCCAGTCTCTGGGCGTGCCCACGCAAGCAACACACACACACCAGTCTGGGCGTGCCCACGCAAGCAACACACACACACACACACACAGTCTATTCTGGGGAGAGGACCAAAGCTTTCTCCAGATTTTCCAGGACTGTGATCCACAAAGGCCTACCTACCCAGCAGCATGCTGGATTGCCCTGGCACAGAGCCACGGACACCATGCTGTTCCATCTTCTGAACCCTGTGTCTGAGTCACTGAGCCTCTACTGAAGCAGGGACCAAAGCTCAGAGAGATCTGAGAGGGAGAGGCATGCTGACCACTCATGTGTGCAACCCCGGGAGCACAACTGGCGCTGCTCGGGATACACGGCAACGCTAGCCAGCGCGCAGTAAGCAGGGTCCCCAAGTCAGACCCCACCGTGCTGGGCACCGCAGCTCCTGGCTGGTGGCGCAGCACGCCCCCTGGTGGCGAGGCTCATTAGAATTAAAAGCCCAGCAACCCATCTTGAATCCTTGCTGTCGTTTGCGGACACTGTGATTCCTGGGCTGACTGGGCCAGGAAAATGCTGGCAGCCTGCAGACCAACCCTGAATCGGTCCCTCTGACACGGGGGCAGCGCTCGCTGTCAGCTCTATCCCCCTGGATATCCACTTTAGATTGTATGGTTACTGAAGCTGTCCAAAGTGCACAGTCCTGAGTTTACCATGACTAAACAAGGTATTCTGAGTTTATAATAATGCAGAAGTGACACACATGCAGTAGAACGTTGTCTGGGTATTTCTTGATTCATAAGATACTATGTTCTGGCCCCTAATATAAGGGCTCTGAACACGTTCAAGTGAGCTCAGCTCAGTAGTGGGGGTGGGTAGGTATAGGTATAGTGAGCTGTATTGTATGACTTACAATGTGGTATTCTCAGTGGACAGTGGGGCCACATCTTAAGCTGAAATCACAAGAAAAAGACAATGTGGGGGAAGGAGACCTGACAAAACTAAAGGCTGAGAGCAAGCTGGAAAACTATGTGCTAGAAACTAACAAAAGGGTGTGAAATCTTTAATACTAGGCTATATATGACCTGCTAAGTACACTACTAAGATCGTAACAGGTTCAAAAGTGAACTGGAAATTTTTCCAATAAGAAAATGAGATCAAGGCTGGGAAGGTGGCTCAGTGGTAGAGCGCTTGCTTTGCATGCATGAGGCCCTGGGTTTGATTCCTCAGCACCACATAAGCAGGAAAAAAAAAAAAAGGCTGGAAGTGGCACTGTGGCTCAAGTGGTAGAGCGCTAGCCTTGAGGTGAAGAACTGAGGGACAGCGCCCAGGCCCAGAGTTCAGGCTCCACGACTGGATCCCCAAAAAAATTTTTTTTAAAAAGAAAAGAAAATGAGATCAAAAGCTAGGTGCTGGTGGCTCGGCTCATACCTATAATTCTAGCTTCTCAAGAGACTGAGGTCTGAGGATTGTAGTTCCAAGCCAACCCAGGCAGGAAAGTCTGTGAGATTCTTTTATCTCCAATAAATGAGAAAAAAAGCTAGAAGTGGAGCTGTGGCACAAATGGTAGAACACTAGCCTTGAGCACAAAAGCTAAAGGACAGTTTCCAGGCCCTGAGGTTCAAGCCCTAGTAACAGAAAAAGGAAGGAAGAAGGTAGGAAGGAGGGAGGGAGGGAGGGAGGAAGAGAAAGGGAGATAAGAAGGAAAGAAATACAGTTAGAAGATTCAAGAATAGGGGATTACACAGTAAACATAAAATGGCTCATGACACTGGGTGGGGGAGGGGAAACTCAGATGACCTCTTTGAAAGCAACTGAGTCACACATTTCAAAATCGTTTTTTTCTTTTTGTCAGTTGTGGGGCTTGAACTCTGGGCCTTGGGCACTGTCCCTCAGCTCTTCAGCTCAAGGCTAGTGCTCTACCACTTGAGCCACAGCGCCACTTCCAGTTTTCTGGTGATAAGAGTCTACGGACTTTCCTGCCTAGGTTGGCTTTGAACCATGATACTCCTATCTCAGCCTCCTGAGTAGCTGGGATTACAGGCGTGACCTACCAGGCACCCAGCTCAAAATCTTTTTACTGACCAAGAGCTGACCTCGTAATTCCACACCTGAAATCAGCTACTGAAGTTGTAGCAGACAGAGATAGCACAGCTCCATTCATACCACAGGTAACAAATCAGATGCCAGGAATTCAGCTGAGAACCAGTCCTATCACTAAAAGTAATGTCTTAGAGGTGCTTACATCATATTAATGGAAGGTGGGTGTAAAAGGTATAAAGTCCAAATTCAGGATGGATGGATGGTTTACAGGTAATGGGGCTTCAAGTATCATATTGCAAAATAAATTTTAATGCATGTTGCGGTTGGCATTTTGCCACTACGCTTACAAACCCGAAGGCAGGGTGACACGCTGAGCAGCCTCTGGATCCACTAACGCAGGAGGGCCCGCACCCCTGCGCTCTGCACCCCCGGGTCTCACCACAGACTCTCGTGGACATCTGTGAGCGCCGCCCGCACCCCTGCGCTCTGCACCCCCGGGTCTCACCACAGACTCATGGACATCCGTGAGCACCGCCCGCACCCCTGCGCTCTGCAACCCCGGGTCTCACCACAGACACTGGTGGACAGCCATAGCCCAGCACGCTTTGGTCTGACTTTGTCTAACGTAATCTGCATTCGCGAATACCATAGCGAACATGGCTGTCAAGGCAGCACTCCATGCCCTCCCCAAGGCGGTGCAGTCTGAGGATGCCATGTGAGGGCCCACACCGAACTTGCCAGAAGGGGGGAACAGATGTATTTAGAGGGCCGTGGGATTTTCTGCCCCACATCAGGACGTATAGCTGACCTCACTCCTCTGGAAGGGAACACAGCCGTGTGCCTTGCCGACAAGACTACAAAGGGCCGGTGAACAGAACTCCCCATAGTTCTCCTCTGTACATCATGTGACAAGGACTTTGGTTCTGGGGTTTGAGCTCGGGGCTCTGCACCTGTCAGGGAGGTCAGCCTTCTGGCTTTATGTTACAAACAGGGACAGGCACTTTCCCCCCGAGGTTAGCCTTGCGGGACACCTTCCTCCTACCTACCTCAGCCTGGAATTACGAGCATGGGCCATCACACCCAGCCACCGCCAAGACATTTATCTTTCAACTCCTGAGTGTCTGGGGCTGCAGGCTAAACTTCCCGACGGGAAGATGTTTCTGCAGCAGTCCTCACGTGACCGCTCCAGCCTCCCCCCTGTACACCCTCACCACACCTGCCTTCCCAGTCTTTTGCAGGCAGGATTATGGGGGACCCAGTTGGGGGAGGGCAGCCCCAAAGCCCCTCACCCGCAGTAGAAGAAAGCCTTCTGCCAGGAGCGCAGCCGGTCAACCTTCTGGGCTACAGTGTTTGCAAACTCCACAAACTGGCAGCAGAAAGGTGCCTCGCACAGCAACAGGATGAAGGCATTCATGCTGCAGGGCAATGGCAGAGAGAAGGGGGTGATAGTCCTGGGGCAGCCCCATGAACAATGCCACCCCCCCCGAAGCACCCACCTGCCCCAGGACACCTGTTTCTACCCACCCCCCGTCTCAACCTATGCCCCTGCCCCTAAGCATCCTGGAGGACACACCTGGGCGTCTGGTCCTTTTATCCTGAGGGGACAGTGGACCCGCACCGCTCCCTCTCAGGCACAGCAGGACCCAGGCGCCTCAGTGGGCCACATCTGACCAGCCCTCCGCCCTGCCCTCGCTTCCATGGACCAGCGACCGTGGCAGCGGGCGGCAGGGAACACCACAGATGGCTCTGGGCACCACCGGCAGCAGCGGTGCCGGGGTGGGGAGGAGCCTCTGTGCTGTGGCCAGCTTTCCACAGCCCAAGGCCTGCCACGGCAGTACGGCCACTGGCTACTCACATCATCCACACGCCAGCTGCGATGTTCAGAGGGTGGATGGTGATGCAGTTGAAGAGGCCAGAGATGGCGCAGGCTTGGAAGCAGGAGACGTGAGCAAGAGTTAGCAGGGAGGTCAGGGCAGAGCCTGCAGGAAAGGCTGCCTAGGGGATGGCTGACAAATCACCAGATGCCCTCCTGAGGCTCAGCGCTCAGTCTCCTCCCCAACCCCATCACCCCAAAGAGCTAAAGTGCTGCCCACCCCTCGTCCCCCCAGCAAGGCCAGCGCAGCAAGACCGCTTCAGGGCTTCCGGGGCCTGAGCAAGCTGGCACCCTGACCTCAGCTGTATTCACATCCACCTCAGGTGGGCAGAATTATCTCTCGAGGTCAGGCTGGGGCTGTCTAGACTAAGCCCTTAACATGGGCCACCTGTCACACCATTCACAAAGCTGGTCACGCAAAACATCTTCAGACTTGGAAACTGTGCCCTGGATCTACTTGTTTTTTGAGATGGAATCTCACCAGGTAGTGCAGGCTGGCTGTGAACACACAGATCCTCCTGCCTCAGCCTCCTGAGTGCTGGGATTAGAGACAGGCACTACCCTGCCTGGCACCTCAGAGATGGAGACCAGGTAAGATCTCTTATCCATCAATTTGGGTGCTTCAGCACGCTTACTTTATAGGCTCATTTTCTCACCCACACAGGGCTGCATCCCATGGTCCAGCAAGAAGCCATTTCCCCTCCCCTCCCCTCCCACCTGCACTGGCCCTGCCCCACCCCTCCACCCACAGCCCAAAGCAGCAGGCAACAAGAAACTTTGGGGGGGGGGCTTCAGGACATTCCAGGGAGCTGGCCTGCTGGACAGGGTGCAAGCCCAGGCAATCACCAGGCAGGTGGACGCTTGCCCTTGGAGGCAGCAATTAGCAACCAGCTCATTAAACCTTCAGCAGCCTGGGTACACCTGATCCCTCCCCAGGGCCTGGAATTCTGCCGTTTTCCATTTTCCCCTGTAACCCTAGGATGAGGCGGAGGAGGACACTGGATGATATGACCACGGGAGAGCGGCTGCAGTCCCATACCACAGTGGAGTCTTGTGTCCTGTCCTTGGGGACACAGGGCGGCTGGCACTTCCTGCGGCTGTGTAAATGTGGGCTTTCCGCAGGCAACCCCACGCCCACCACAGCTAGCCCGGGGAGGACGGTGGTGGGCCCCAGCAGTTCAACAGTGAGCAGCTCGAGGCATCCACGCATGGAGACTCCTACCCCTGCCTTCCTCACACAGAGGGAGTCACCACCTTGCTACCTATACCTCCAGTTGTCCTGGGGACCCAGGGTAAATGCCTCTTCCGTTCCTGAGGGTCCCTCACCCCCAGGGGGGAACCCCATCCCAGAGGGAATGGCTAGGAGCACAGCTCTTGTCCAAATTCTTTTTATATCTCTAAAACACCTACACTTTTGCATTGCACTCTGCGGTTTACCAGCTGGTACTCGCTTAACCGGGCTTCTGAAGCCTACAGGAGGACTCCGGGCAGCACCACACACCCCTCCTGGAGTTACACCTGAGTGGCCTAACACAGCTGCAGGCTCTTGCGGTGGCAGAGGCACCTTTGAGAGGCACAGGACTGACCCCCGATCAGCCAGGTTGCGGGCCACACTGGGGGGAACCTGGCAGCCCACAGACCACGGTCAGCCACCAGCAACTGCCTGGCTGCTCACTTGGAAAGAAAGGCTCCCGGCAGGACAGGAGGTGGGTCAAGGCGGCCAGGCCCTGCCCCGCGTGCCGGGCAGGCACTGGTGCTCATTTGTTGAGGGCAGCAAGAGGTGGGAGCAGGCGCACAGGAGGCTTCGGAAGGCCGGCAACACGCGCCGCACGTGTCCGTGTCCCGGGGCTTCCGGCTGCTTCGCTAACTCACTTGAGGCACAGCTCCTCAGGTTTTCCTGCCCTGACTGGCCTCGACCCGCCGGCAGCGACGGCTGCGGGCGCCCGGCGCACCTCCCTCTTTTGTGCTTCTGGAGCGACGCGGGGAGGCCCCCGGGTCCGGCGGGGGCGACGGCGGGGTGGGCGCGCCA